AAAGCCTCCCTGTGGTGTTCCCAGCTGAAGATTTCTTTCCTCTGACAAAAAGCCTTGAAACCATACACATGCTCTTCTCTCAGACAAATAGTTACCGATCCACTTAGGCACCGTTCCCGTGGCCCCTAACCTTGCCAACTCATACTTAATCATTTCTCCGTTGGCTTTATCAGAGGCTCCTTGTAAATCAACAAATACTCTACACTTTTCTGCATCGTTGGATAAACATTGGATTAGGCAGTCAGATGTTCCCTTCCCTTTCATAAACCCGTACAGATTACAAGAAAGTTTATCTCCAATCACATACTTTAGTCTGTTTAATAAAATCCGTTCCATCATTTTGCATAAGCAGGATGTCAGAAACACACGCCTGTATCCATCAGACGATTTAGGAATAGGTATGATTAAAGCTTTTTTCTAGGCCTTCGGCAGTCTACCTTCCAAATAGCTCATGTTAAAAAGATCTAATAAAGGCCTGTTCTCCATGCTTACTAATGCATTGAGAATCTCATATGTCACGCCATCTTCTCCTGGTAATGTGCTCTTCCCCCTCTTGATTGCTTTTAAGAGTTCATGTGTAGTTATACTCTGACAGGATACTGCAGTAATATTTAAGGATGACTGTATTTGTTTCCTTCTTTCAATGTCCCATGCGTCTAAGGCATCACGAGTGTTTGGTGTCAGAGGATGCCTTCGCCCATCTTTGAATAGGTTTGTTTGCCTCCTCCTCTGGGTGTGGGTGACCGATTAGGTTATTTTACCCCTCACCTTATTGACATGATGCTTTTGCATTCCTCGATGTTTTGTGCAAATTATTTCCAGTATTTCTCCCTTTTTTCCGTTTTTCCCTATACATCCTTGATATATCAAGGAGTATATCTTTGTCCTTTTCCTTTTTGCCTTTTTGTACCCACGCCCGGTGTGCCAACCTGAGCATGTATGTCCATTCTTAAAGTGTCTTAGCACTGCAGTACCTTTTGTCCTTCCCCCATGACCCTTTTCCTTTCTGTGTGTCTTGGGTGTTGTGGGTAAACATCTTTCTATCGCACTCAACAAATCCCCGTTGAACCTATCAAAACATATGGATGTATAGTATTTATACCAACTCTCTTTGTAAAAAAAGAAAAAAAAAACTGGTGTCTGTCGTTTACATTCAGTGAAAGCCGCTTTCTTTGAAATTTAATTCAACATACTACGAGAAATGATCGCTGAGTAGTTCACTTACCACTTTACATTCTCCTTGAATCGCCTGTCTGCCAAGCAGGCAGGCGAAATCAAGCCGTCCACCCTTGATGTGTGTTGCCTTTTTGCCACCCAGCAAGCATGCATCGGGCCTATCCTTTAAAAACTGGTAAAACCTCTTACCGTTATCATTGATATTGCCCCTCTCCTCTAACTGTGGGTGTCTAGCATTCAAGTCACCCACTATCAGAGCAGAGTCAGAGTGCATGCAATCTGGTAAATATCTGAAGTCAAAGGATCTCCCAGGGATGTATAAATTGACAGTATACATTTCACCTTGTTGCATATGAAGCTTCCGACATACTTTCTATGTCGTTAGTTCTGCATGGCGTCTCTGTTAGTTCAGAGGGTATTAAACTTTTGACATAAATTGACACTCCCCGTGTTCGGTTACCGGCATGGAGGTGGTACGCTCTATAACCATTAAGTTTGAGAGTCTCACCTTTCATGTCCCTGGTCTCCTGGAGACAAACTACGTCAATATTGTTTTTCAATACTAAGCAGTGAACGTCTGTAACTCTGGTAAGCAAACTACTCACATTCCCCGATAATATTCTAATACTATGCTCCATCAGATCTTGATTGTCCTGAAGTTCTTCTAACACTTTCTGAATATTTCCCCATATCTCTTGCATTGTTTCCCATTTTTTCAAGAGGTTTTCCTTCTCCGGATCTTAACACTTTAGGAGGACTGACCGGAAGACCTCAGGGGATGTTCATTCCACTACACTTGCTTTTGTTTTCTTTCCCCTTAATGATATTCTTTCTGTTTATTTATTTTTTTTCCTTTGCAGGTCCACTAACATTTTCACTATTCATACCGGAGTCCTTGGGAAGAATTTCTTTCGCAGTCTCCTCTTCCTTTTTCTGTTCCTTTTCTATTCCTGTAACTTCTGCCAGTTTCTTTTCTATCGCGTCCATCCTCTGCATCACAGTCTGCATCATCTGAGTAATTGTGGATATTGCATTCCCAGTGAAATCCGCATCACTACTGCGCGGCACTCTTGTTGCTCCTGCACTTGCTTGTTTGCATTAGGCGACGGCAACACGGACGGTGGGGTGGGCCCTGCAGCCAGGCGTTTGGGACAAGAGCTGCTGTCTCCCTCGACACCTCTGCCTGTGTAGTGACCGGCCCTGCCTCCCTCGGCGCCTCTTCTGCGACTCCTTGGTGGGGAACGGCCGAAGTTCTTTTCCATTGTGGCCTCGCTCTGCATGCCAGAGATCCGGCATTGTGTGAGCCTCCGCAATTGCAGCAACAAGGCTTTATCCTCTCTCCTTTTCGATCTTGGCCCGGAAGATCCTGGAGTCGTGTTTGTTGCCGCAGAACCTGCATCGGGCGTCCTGCTGGCATTTCCACGACTTGTGGCCCTATCTGCAACACTTGAGGCACATGACTGGCGGCTCCACATACGGTGCCACCCTCCTGTACCCCGCTCCAGAGATGAAGACCCTCTTTGGTACTTCCCCTTTCACGAGGGCTATGAGCTGACTCCGCTCCTCACCCCTAGACTCGTTCCTCTTAACCCACACGAACCTTTCGTCGTCCAGAGGAAAGTCGGGGTCCAGTATGATAGGATACTGGAAAATTATCACTTTGGTGTTTTTCCCCACCCTTTGGGACAGTCATCACTGTCCCCTTGTACCCCTGTGTCGTCAGGCTTTACTCTGCCGGGCCTGTCCGTACTGTGAGGTACGGTCTTCCTCTTCCTTTCTTTAGCAGCGGCTCGAAACCACGGTGGTCCCGGCCCAGCTGCAGGGCCAATCTTAATATTTTTTTCCATGAAGCTCATGGCGCAATTCTTTGGGAATAACAGCCACTTCCTGCCATTCAAACTTTCAGCTTTCAGCTTAAACACAGGATTCTGGAAATCTCTCACGACTAAGGACAGCACACAAACACGTCCTACTTCTACAAGAGATACACCACCACTGAGGCTTCTTTCCTGTTAGTTCAGGAGTGAGGCAAGGCTGTGTCTTTGCACCAACACTTTTCAATACTTGCATGGACTGGATACTAAGCAGAGCTACTGTTCAGTCATTGTGGAGCAACTCTAGGCAATATCAAGGTTACAGACCTTGACTTTGCTAATGATGTTGCTATTCTATCTGAGTCTTTGGAAACCTTAGTGGTGGATCTGGATGCATTTAGTAATGAAGCGAAGCCCTTGGGTCTAGAGATCTGGACCAAGACCAAGATCCAGGACTTTGGGGACTTGCTAGAACCTGTTCGGTCGGTACGTGCTTGCGGTGAGGACATTGAAGTCATAGAGAGCTTTACATACCTTGGTAATGTAGTTCATAACTCTAGGCTGTCAGACCAAGAAGTCAGCATATGGATTGGCCTGGCAGCAGGGTCATGAACTCTCTCGACAAAAGTGTTTGGAGATGCCGATACCTGTACAGAAGGATCAAGCTGCGGGATTGCAAGGCATTGATAATGTCAGTTTTGCTATATGTTAGTAAAACCTGGACATTATCCTGGGCCTTGGAGGCAAGTCTTGAAGCCTTCTGTAACAGGTCCTTGCGCCAGATCATGGGGTACTGTTGGTGGGACCACGTGTCCAACCAATGGTTGCACCGTGAGACTGGCATAGGACCTATTACCTACACAATCTGGGATCGCCAACTCAGGCTATACGGCCACCTGGCTCGCTTCCCCCAGGATGATCCTGCCCACCATGTTGTCTCTGCAAGAGACAACCCTGGATAGAGGAGGCCTGTGGGACGATCAAACCTGTCGTGAGGAGCTCGAGATGGTCCGAGTCCCTGCCTGGCGGCTTGCCATGAGGGACCCTAAAAGTGGAAACAAAGGATGGATGCGGCTATGCGCCCCCGTCGGCGTTAGCCCCTAATGATAATTAATATATATATATATATATATATATATATATATATATATATATATATATTATATATTTATATATATATATGAATATATATATATGAATATATATATATATATATATATATATATATATATGAATACATATATGTATATATAATATACATATATATTATATATATATATATATATATATATATATATAATATATATATGTGTGTGTGTGTGTGTGTGTGTGTGTGTGTATACACACACACACACACACACACACACACACACACACACACACATATAATATATATATATATATATATATATATATATATATATATATCTGCATATGTATATATATTCACATATATATATATATATATATATATATATATGTATATATATATATATACATATGTATGTATGTGTGCATATGTATATATATATATATATATATATATATATATATATATATATATATATATATATACATATACACATATACACATATATACATGTGTGTGTGTGTGTGTGTGTGTGCTTGTGTGCGTGTGTGCGTCTGTGTGTTTACTTATGTGTGTGTGTACGTGTATGTGTTTATATGCATGTGTGTATATATATATGTGTGTGTATGTGCACATATATACGCAAACACACACACATAAAGATATATATATATATATATATATATATATATATATATATATATATATGTACATACATACATATAATGTATATATATATATATATATATATATATGTATATATATATATATATATATATATATATATATATATATATATATGTATATATATATGTGTGTGTGTGTGTGTGTGTGTGTGTTATATATATATATATATATATATATATATATATATTATATATATATATATATATAAACAGACTGTTGCAGGGATCCCCAGAGCATAATTAGGTGGAAGCACTAGACACGTGCGGTGACAAAGCACAGACGAAAAGCGCGAAGAGGGAACGAAGAAGACAACAACAACACGTGGCGAAGGCACGCACAGGCACAGCCACGCATAAAGACCCATGAATTTACGTACACGGAGGCACGTGGTGAGTCTGGCCAAAGTTCATGGTTTAATGGGGCAGCTTTTAGGAGAGACCCCCAGTAAACTCAATAATACCACAGTTATTTCGTACAAAAGAGAATTGTAATATTGATAACAACAAAATTAATAATGCCAGTAATTACAATAAGAGCAACAATGATAGTAACACCACTACTACTACTACTACTACTACCTATAATGATATTAATGATATCAATAACAATAATAACAACAATAACAATAATCTTGATAATATTGATTATAATTTTTACTACACCTACAACAATAATAGATATAATAATGATGATAATAATAACGAGACGCTCTCAGAGAGCGCATACCTCCGTCAAGGCAATAGGCTCACTGATGCAATAAAGATATTCACACGAATAATTATATTAAAAAGAACAAATAATAATAATCTAAGTGCCAAAAGGTTTGTTTCCCTATCTCGCAGTGCCAATGTAGCCTTTTAAAATTTCCCGGATCCGGATTACCACGAACTTTAATGGCATCTAAGTTGGGGAAAGATACAGCTCCGGTAAAAGATTCATAAAAATCTGTTCATAATTTTTTGAATTGTCCTGACAGCCAACGAACAAACAGCGATAACGGTTAAGTAATAATAATGTTGAGGATTATATTAACAATATTAATAGTGATGATAATAATAATAATAGCAACAATAATCATCATAACAGTAACAATAATAATCTTACAATAAGAATAATTAGAATATTGATAACAATAATGTTAAAAGTATAAATATGAACAACAACAATAGCAATAATAATAACAATAATAATAACTAGAAGCCCTCAGAGAGCGCTCACCTCCATAAAAGAATTGGAATCACTGATGCAATAGTATACAAACATTTGTAGAATTTCACTAAAATCGCCTCTTTCTCTTTGGTGACGTCAGTTTCCCTATCTCGCAGTCCTATTGAATCCTTTAAAAAAAATCCTAGATCTGGATCACCAAATCTAATGGCATCTAAGTTGGGCTAACACGCGTCTGGAAAAGAAAAAATCACAAAAATCTATTCATAACTTTTTGAGTTCTCCGACCAACCAACTAACCATCGAACGGACAAACACACTTACGCTTCCAGAATCATAGCTTCCTTGGCGGAGATAACAATACGCATGACCACTGGCTTATATAACGCAATATGACCCAGCAAATCTTGAGCCGATATATAAGGCTCGCCGCAGCAGGTACCCTCCCATATACCCACTGAAGGCGTTCGGGACAGGCCTGTGCTCAGCAACTTGGAAGTTAAATAATAAAGTCTTCAAGGTAATTTCCATTTTGATTTCATGGTTTAGTTGATTTTGAGCATTATTTTCTTGAAGTGCATAATGCATAAAAAACTGCACATGAGATACAATCCAGCTTTACTTCCCTGTGGCTTAACATTAAACATTCTTTTCCACGGTAAAGCGAACTTTCTTCGACTAATGCTTAGTGTGGAAGCGAGCCTTCTTTCGGCAACGTTCATAATACCGAAAGTTGCACGAATTAAGAATGAAAAGAATTTTTATATTTGATGTTATATTTGAATGATTGGCCATTCCCCTTCCCCGCTCTTGTGACCGAGCGCCGTCCCGCCCGCAGATGACCGCCGACGTCCGCTTCGCCGCCCTGGACTACGTGGTGTTCGTGTCGATGCTGCTGGTGTCGCTGGCCATCGGCGTGTACAGCTCCCTGCGGGGGAAGGGCGCGGCCTCCACCCAGGCCTTCCTGCTGGGGGGCCGCGAGATGTCCGTGGCGCCCGTGGCTCTGTCGCTGGTCGGGGGCGTCATCTCGGCCATCTCCATCCTGGGTGAGTGAGGGCGCCGACGCTGGCAAAGGGCTGGGAAACCGCTGAAACAGACGCCGTTCGAGTGAAACGTTACAATACAGGCTTAGATGGAATTGTTAATGACAATAAGGATAGCAGTAATGCCACAACTAATGCCAATGATGATAACGAAGACGTCATAGGAAAGGTAAGTCAGGAAAGACGATAGCCTTTCGACCTGCCAATATTTCCTCAGGCTTGCCGACAGAAATGTACCTCTACGGAACGCAGCTGACCACCAACATCATCGGGCTGATCGTGGGCGTGATGGTGGTCAAGCACGTGTTCCTGCCAATCGTCTATCCGCTGAAACTCGTCTCCATCTACGAGGTAATCCAATACAAAGGAATCGGTTAAACGAAGCAAAACAAAATGAAATACACCACAAGAAGAGACCAAGATCCGTGGCGTTTCGAGGCATACTAGACTCGTTTTCAGACACTGATGCAAAAATCCATAGATCTATTCATTCATTCTCGGCGAGGGAGGACTCGAAACGCCTCGGAATCAGTGGTCCCGTTCTGACTGCGGCTTTGGGCCAGGGCATGCACTGGCCACCTTTCTCACTACATGCATCTGCAGCAGCTGAATCTCAGTCGCGAGGACTGTCTCTCTCTCTCTCTCTCTCTCCCTCTATCTCGTTTTTTTTTTTTCTTTTCTCTCTATCTATCTCTTTCTCTTTCTATCTATCTATCTCTTTTCTCTCTCTCTATCTCTCTCTTCTCTCTCTCTCTCTCTCTCTCTCTCTCTCTCTCTCTCTCTCTCTCTCTCTCTCTCTCTCTTCTCTCTCTCTCTCATGCTCACAAAAGAAATCAATTTCTCTCCCCCAGTATATCGAACTACGCTTCAAATCTAGAACACTTCGCAAGCTGGCCATGGCTTGCTGGCTGATGGCGTCGTGCATGTACCTCGGGTCGTGCCTCTACGCCCCCTCCCTGGCCCTCCTGTCGGTCACGGGCCTCCCGCCGTGGGCCTCCATTCTCTCAATGGGCCTCGTCTGCGCTGTCTACATCTCTATTGTAAGTCTGACTTTATTTCAGATATGTTAAAAAGTACGCACACAGACACACACACACACACACACACACACACACACACACACACACACACACACACACACACATATATATATATATATATATATATATATATATATATATATATATATATTACAAGTTTGTATATATATAATACACACACACACACACACACACACACACACACACACACACACACACATATATATATATATATATATATATATATATATATATAATATATATATATATATATATATATATATATATATATATATATATATATATATAATATATATATATATATATATATATACACACACACATATATATGTGTGTGTATATGTATACACGCATATACATATACCACAATACCAAATGCCGTTAGAAAAAGCAGTTCCTCGAGACGCCTTTCTCTCCCAAGGGCGGCGTGAAGGCGGTGGTGTACACAGACGTCGTCCAGACTCTGCTCATGTTCGGGGGCGTCGTGACGGTGGTGGCTGTGAGCTGCAAGGACTTGGGCGGACTGGGCGGGGTGTTGCAGATCGCAGACCGGGGCGGCAGGCTCGAGTTCTTCAAGTGAGTCTAGTCCTCGATTTACCTTTATCCGGAGAATCTACATTCCTTCATCTATTTGTGTTTAGCGCTGGTCAGATGTGGCAAGTGAAACTAAAAGGCCGGATCACCTTTACTTGAGAAATAAACATCCACTTACGCCGCAAACTCCCCTGACACGAATACCTTCCACCTTTCCCCACCAACGCCTGTGATTGCTCCCGCAGTACGGACCCGAGTCCCTTCGCTCGACACACGCTCTGGTCCACCATCGTCCTCGGCTTCTACACTGCATTCAGCGTCATCGGAACGAGTCAGTCCCAGTACCAGCGGTTTGCTTCCGTTAAGACTCTGGCCGATGCTCAGAGGTACGTGCAGCGCCTTTGAAGGAGAGGACGGGCAAGCGAGGTAGATGAATAGGTGGTGCAGCGCCCTTGAAGGAGAGTTGGCGAGCGAGAGAACGGGCAAGCGAGATAGATAAATAGATTGTTTCATAAACAGAGAGATGATTCCATAGATAGACTAATATAGAGATCGATGGTTAACTATAAATATAGACAGGCAGTTGAATAGAAAGGCAGACGGGTAGATAGATGAATAGATAGGTAGGTTGGTAGGTAGATAAACAGACATTGAGATGGATAGAGAGAGAGAATGAGGAATAAAGACATATGTTGCTCGTGCTTAGCTAAAAGTACAAATGATTGTATTAGCAAAACAGCGAGTCTTCTCGTATTCTTTCTTTTTTTTTTCCCAAGGAAAATACAGCCCTAGGTAGATGAATCGATTTTTTTTGCCAGTTTATTTTATCTTTTTTCTCGCACACAGATATGGACAGGCAGCCATCCATAGATTGACAGATCAATATAGATGTGGATATAGACGGATAGATAAATGGTTTGGTAAACACATAGTTGTATATTCAAGTAGATGAATAAAGGAATATATGTATGCATATTTTTATTTGTGTGTATATATGTATGCATTTACGAATGCACACATGTACATATGCATACACGCACACATAAATATATATATACTGTATTTGTTCTTATTCGCACACACATATTTACAAAGACGGACAGATAGGTCGCTTCCAGATGCTGTTGCAGGCATCACAAAAGCCTTCACCCCCCCCCCCTTCCTGCCCCCAGGCTGTGCTCGCTGTTCAGCGTCGGCGTGCTGTTGCTGTGGGGCGTGTTCTACACCTACACAGCGACTGCGACGACTTGGGTGGCGGACTCAGTCACCTGACTGACACAGGTTGCTGGGCGTGGGCGAGTGACAGAGTGCGCGGCCCCCGGGAAACGGCCCCAGATCATCAGCCACGGGTCCAAAAACAGCTGTTTGGGTTCAGGTGAACGGCGGCGTCCTCAGGTAAGGGGCCCGAGGGCGGCCTGCTGGGCGTGGGCGAGGGGCGCTGATGCTGAGGCAGTTGGGCTTCGAGTGCTACTTCTTGGCGGGAGGGAGGGGGGGGGTGTACGTGAGTGAGTGCTAGGTTGTTGTCCAGGGGCCGGATTCACTAACAAATGCGATTGTAACGCGTTTCCCAGCGGTCAGTTACCATCGCGTTTACCAGCGATGGTAAAGTGGGATTCACGAAGCGATGGTTACTCGCTTCGACATTACAACTCATTCTAATGGTAGCCAACAGATGGCTCTAGTAAAGCCATTCCGCCAATCTGCAAGCTCCATACATAATTCTTTTGGCTTCTTCGGCCAGTCATGTTTTATGTAAACTAGAAACAACATAGCGTTTTTCGTAGAAAATTTGCAAATAAAAATGCTTAATCACAACCATCATGTGAATGTTAAAATACATCCCTGGCAATTTATCGTCAAAATAAGAACCAGTGCAGACACTGCCGTGCACGTACCGGAGTAATTACATTTCATTATTTACCGTCAACCAAAGACCTTGTCCAAACACAGTTTTATATTCATTAATTTACTTCTCTTCACTGTCAGACAAAGAACCGAACCAAACGTTATGTCCATCGCGCTTTAAAAAGAATTAACCTGAACTCTTTCTTGTGCCACGCAGTTTGGTTTGTTGTTCTTTGCCGACAGACACAGAAGCTGCTGTACTCGTTTAAGGTTTCTATTGCTGGTTCATGTACCAATAAGTTTGTTTTCCTTTAGTAAATGATATGTAAGAAGAAGAATGCTTTTGGAGTTCAATTATCTATCTACTCTTCATACTCTTTATACTATTATAGGCCTATGTTTATCTATAATTTAACGAAAATTTGTGTGCGTTATTCTTAATAATATCATGTGAAATTTGCATTTCTACATCTTGACCTTGCTTTAACATGTGCTTGTCATTATTGCAACCATAATATTCGTTACAGTAAAAGCTTTGCTTATAGGGACCGTCCCTTGGGATGGGGGGGGGTAAGGGGGTTTTGGGGGTTATATAGATCAAATTACTAAAAAATATATAATAATAATAATAAATAAAAAATAAAGATTAAGAAAAACGACTTACGGGTTTTCTGGATTTTTTTTTTTTTTTTTTTTTTTGATGTATTTTAACAGTTTGCATTCAATGTACCCGCTAAAACCCACTTTTTATTTTTTATTTTTTTTCACATGTGTGCGCGGTTGATCCATCGTCCCGGAGGATTATGAATTATGTCATAAAAAAGTGAATGGATATCAGTGAATTCCTATAGCTACGGAGGCTTTTCGGAAAGTCTATTTAGTTTCCTCAGAAGAAAAATGTAAGATATGTAATTCTTAACCTTTTTTTCGATATTCAAGAATTCGTATAAAAAACGGAAGCAAATATGAAGAATTGCGTCTGTAGTTGTATGAGCATTTTTGAAATGGAAGAGCAACCAAACAAAAAGTTTAATATTTGACGTTCATTTTTGTTATTCTTTATCTATAAACCTTTAACATTCGATCACCGTAGAAACTACTATCACTTCTCTTCCAAATACACTTTTTTTGCTTGAAGATCTAAACATTAGTCTCTGAGTTATAGAAACAAACAAAATAAGGAGGCAAATTCAGACCCAAGACAACATGACCGTTCTATAACATCTGTTTTTTTCTTGTTTTTATACATCTTATTATTATATTTTGAGTGTAAATATGTTTACTTGTATATGTCACTTAATGTAAAGGTACATGTACTTGCACGTGTATATGTGTATAAGCGCATATACCCGTGAGATCCGTAAAGGTTTATTTATTTATTTAATCTTTATTCCAGTCTACTCTTCTTCCGTATCGATTCCGCCTCGAAACAAGCGATGAACGTATAGTCACGAGCAGAGCAATTGTTATGGAGGGACGCTTCGTTTTGTGAGAATTGGTATCAGATGTTTGTAGGCCTATCTCAGGGGTTTACACGAATAGATTATATCATACAGTCTTTACATTTACTTTTTTCGTAAAATGGATTTATAAGGACAATTTATAAGTTGTTTAATCGGTAAATTAGTTTCAAATGAAAGCGCAACCGTAAACTTATTGCAATCAGAAAAGTCTAAAGCGGTGGCGACGACTGGAACTCTGAAGGCTGTGTCCCTCCGAGACTGTAAATATCTATTCGTTACGAGTTTACAAGACGGCCGAGATACAGACTTGCAATTGCCCATGTATTATCATCGAACCCTAAAACGTAATTGCATGATGAATATGTTAAAATCGAATCATATCTACTTCATTTTCTGGGAAGAAAGTTTAAGTGTGATTCTAAAAAGAAAATCCATGTTTTCAGATCACAAATATTTCACTTTAGGAAGACACTATAATAATAAGACACATTTATCCTCCTGATATACATTTCAATAGGTATGTTCGCTCCTGTAAAACGGGAGTTCGGTAGAATGAAAATCGCTGACACAGCGGCAATGAGACTTGGGGTTCTCGCCTAAATTTTTCGTTTATATTCACG